CCCCGCTTGTGTTCCTGCTCTCACTGTCTCTCTCTCTCTGTCAGATAAATAGTAATAAAAAAAATTTTTTTTTAAATGGGGCTTACAATTTTCTGATAATGATTTGTGGCCCCCGCCCCGGTACATACAAACATCACATGGCAGAGGCCATCATGTTTAAATTGTAAAATAGACAGTGTGGGAGATTGACCATTGTACCCGCATCTGAGTGTACAGTTTGGTGGTGTGATGTTCACTCCTGTTGGCGTGCAGCCGTCAGCACTGTTTGTCTTCCTTCTACGCTGAAACCGAACCTGTGAAACAGGCTCAGTTTGCCTTTCCTTAGTCCCTGACAACCTTCAATCTACCTTTTTTCTCTTTTTTTAGTGAATTTGATTACTATAGGTATTTCAAGTAAGTGGAGTCAGAAAATATTTGTCAGCTTGTGTTTGGAATAATGTCTTTAGGCGGTCATCGTATTTAAAAATAATTTCCAGTTTGGGTATTGGTGGATGACGTAATACAGACAGAGCTTCTCTCTGAGAACCAACACTATCGGATGGAATAATCCTAAGAAGAAAGTACTTAGAGAGCCTACGTGACAGAAGAATTACGGGTCCATGATCTGAAAGGAGAGAACCAGAGAAGTGTGCCCAGCTTTGGGCCTCTGTTTACCTAGAGGCGCGTCTCAGTTTTGAAAGAGGGGACTGAGCGGAGCGTTTGGCTGACTTCTGGGACTAGCAGAACAAGCACTGGGACTTAGAGCCTGCTCATGGCGGAGGACTTTCTTGCTAATCCCCGGGCCATGATTTGGGACCCTGAAGCCCCATCCCCTGGGAAGAGGTCTGCCTCAGAATGAGGCTGGTCTTTATGGGAACTGATACCCAGCCTCTAATCACGTCATTCACTCTGGGATTGACTTGATTTCAGATTGCTAGTTTCCCTAGCTGCTTGCCAGAAGCAAATGTGACTCTTCCTGGAAAAATAGAGCATCACTGTAGGCTTCACGATTTCCATATAGTTGTCCACACACGGTGTCTGGCGTGAGGAGGCGAGACAAGTGGTAACAGAACAGTCCCACCAGGAATCCAGAATTGACTTTAGAGTAACTGTGCTTGATATATTCTAGGAAGTATCACGAGGGTGAGAATTTTAGCAGAGAATAGAAACTTGACAAAAGAACCACATGGAAATTTCAGAATTGAAAGCTCGGTGCTGTTAACAGTTCAGTGGTGGGTTTTCCAGCCAACTAAAGAGAAGCAGTAAAGGGAATATAGGTCAGAAGAAAATATTCAGGGGCACCTGGGTGGCTTGCTTGGCTCAGCTTGTGATCTGGAGGTTGTGAGCTGGAGCCTTGCATCAGATCAGGCTCTGTGCTGCAGGGGCCACCCGCTTAGGATTCGCTCTCTTCCTTTGCCCCCCACCCAAGAAAGAGGAAGAACATATTCAGACTGAAACTAAGAAATTCTGAGAGAGGAAAAATATGGACGCATAAAAAAACATAGGGAAACAAAAACTAACCCCAGAAGGTACATGCACCCAGATGTTTATTGCAGTAGTATTTACGGTAGCCAAAATGTGGAAGTAACAACCCAAGTGTTTGCTGACAGACGAGTGGATAAAGAAGATGTGGTGTGTGTACACAGTAGAGTATTACTCAGCCATAAGAGGAATATGAAACCTTGCCATTGGCAACAACACGGATGGATCTGGAGGTTATAACACTAAACAAAATAAAAGACAAATACTGTATATTTTCACTTACATGTGGAATCTATAAAACAAAACAAACAAAACAGAAATAGACTCATAAATCCAGAGAATAAATGGGGCATTGCTTAGGGAGGAGGGATTGGTGGGTGGTGGTGAAAGAGGTGAAGGGGATTAAGAGAAAAAAGAGACATAGTGGGGGCACCTGGGTGGCGCAGTTGGTTAGGTGACTGCTTTTGGCTCAGGTCGTGATCCTGGAGTCCTGGGATCAAGTCCTGCATCAGGCTCCCTGCCCAGCAGGGAGTCTGCTTCTCCCTCTGACCTTCCCCCATCTCATGTGCGTTCGTGCTCTCTCTCTCTCTCTCTCTCAAATAAATAAATAAAATCTTTAAAAAAAGAGAGACATAGTGGACATAGTAAAAAGTATAATATATATGTAATTAGAGGCCCAGGGGAGAGGAGAGAATAGGGCAGAAGAAAAACTGAGGAGGTAATGAAAAAGGATTTTCAGAAATTAATAATAGAACATCCGCTTAGAAATGCTGTAAACCTGAAGTGAGATAGATACAGAGAAAACCATGTATAAACCCATCATACAAAATCATCATAAGCTAAGTGCAGTGTGAGACCCGCGAGCGGCCAGTGGAGACACAACAGCTTGAAGATACTGCCGCAGACAGCTGACTTCTTAGTAGAAGCATCAAAACCCAAGAAGGCAGCGGGTTTGAAAGAAAACAAGTGACCTATGTAATAAAAATCCTCTTCGAAAATGAAGGTGAATTAAAGACATTCTCTGACAGAAGGAGAGAATTTATCACGAGATCTGCTTTGAAAGAAACTGAAATTCTGCCGTGTTGCAGAAACGATCAGAAATGGCCCCAACAGAAGCGTGGGAAGGGCAAAAGGAATAAAAAGTAGCAGCAGGTGTAAATATGGGCAAATCCCAGTGGTCATCTGTTTTATAAAAGTAACAGTGAGGTGCTGATGCTTGTCAGACTCTCTAAGGCAGTGAAAGCTTGTATAACTAGCAAGCTAGTAGAAGGGTATAATAAGAAATAGTAACACTCTAAAAGAAGGTGGGATGGGTTTAGACCCAAATTCGTATGTAATTTACATGAAACTAATAAATGGACTGAACCCTCCAGTGAAAAGCAGAGAGAGGCAGATTGTGTAATCATGCAGAATTGATAGTCTGCATATAAAACTGTAGATGCACACAGAGAATTGAGGCTAGCCACGGCAACAGCGAGGAACAATAGAGTGAGGACGACATACTCCAGTGGCAGCCAACGCTCAGGATAGAGCGACGTAATTAAGACACTGATGCTGGCTCAAAGTTAGGCATATTGACCAGCAGAACAAAAACAGCCATCTAGATGCTTGCTTTATGAAATGAGGAAGCCTGCAGCACAGTTAATAGATAGTGCTGGATTGATTGGATGGCCATATAGAAATGAAAAGGAAACTTGAGCCTTATTTCACACCAGAGGCTAAACTTTCCAGGTGGATTGGAGATGTAACTATGAAAGTAAAACAGTAAAGCTCCTAAAATAATGTGGGATAATATTTTCATGGTCTTGGAATTGAGAAGCACTTTTTTTTTTTTTTTTTTAGATTTTATTTATTTATTTGACAGAGATTACAAGTAGGCAGAGAGGCAGGCAGAGAGAGGAGGAAGCAGGCTCCCTGCTGAGCAGAGAGCCCGACGTGGGGCTCGATCCCAGGACCCTGGGATCATTACCTGAGCCGAAGGCAGAGGCTTAACCCACTGAGCCACCCAGGCGCCCCTGAGAAGCACTTTTTAAACAAGTTAGAAAAAACCTTAATCATGAAAGGAAAAGATTGCTACTTTGGACTTGAATAAAAGTTATGAACTTGGCATTCATCAGAAGACACTATTCAGGGAGTGACAAGACAGGCTGTACGCTGGGGGAAGCTTTTTGCAGCCTGGATTACCCAGGGTGGGGTCCCATCTAGAATGTATAAAGGACTCTTCAGATCAATAGAGAAAAAGATGGACAGCTCAGCAGAAAAACGGCAAGAGATGTAGTTTAAGCAGGTGTTCATAGAAGAAGGTAATCCATGTGGCTGTTAGAACACGAATCAGTACTATATCTCGTTACTAATCAGGGATATGCAGATTGGAAGCAGGATGGTGTGGTATTCATACCTACCAGAAGTGCTCAGATAAAGACGGACCGTTCAGTTGTAATGTTGTGTGTGTGTTCACACAAGCTGTCGTACGCCGCCGTGGAAGCAGAGATTGATAGAACGGATCTGCAGGGCTGCTGGGAGCGGTCCGCTGAGGCTGAGCATGTGTTTGGCCATGACAGCGCCACTCCTGGGTGTACGCACAGCAGAAGGGGTGCCCATGGGTAGCAGAAGACATTTAGTAGGATGTTCATAACATCACTCATTTAATAGCCCCAAACTGCAAGTAATGCAAATGTTCATGAATGGGAGGATGGGGAAATAAGCGTGGTTGATAAGATGGAACACCGCAGAGAGTGATAGCGAAGAAGCCAGAGATGGGGCACCTCGGTGGCTCCGTTGGTGAAGCGCCTGCCTTTGGCTCACATCATCATCCCAGGGTCCTGGGATCGAGCCCGGCATCGGGCTCCCTCCTCAGTAGAGAATCTGCTTCTCCCTCTCCCTCTGCCTGCCTCTCTCCCTGCTTGTGCTGTCTCTCTCTATTAAATAAATAAATAAATAAATAAATAAAATCTTCAAAGGAAAAAAAAAGAATAAATTGAGCTGCATGCGACAGATAGCTGACTCCCGTAAACAGTCGTGAAGGACAGAGAGCAGGCACGTGACATATGTACCGCGTAGCTCTCCTTACATAACTGCAGAAGCCTGCAAGACTGATCTGTGAGCCTGGAACTGTGGCTAGTACCTTTGGGGAGGTGGACTTCTTACAAAGGAAGTTTCTGGTGTTAACATTCCTTTTTCTTGATCAGGATTCTGGCAGCGTTCACTGCTTATGTTTCACATGCTTTCTGAATGTATAATACTTAAATGAGCTTGTTAAAATGTATTTAATGAGGGTGTCGTTTTTTGTTTTTTGTTTGTTTTTTTTTGTTCTGCCGACTTACTATTTTAAGGCAGACCTTTGTAACATCAGACAGCTTACCTTCTATCAGACTGTGATTTCTGTGGACTGATGTTACCTGAGAGAATGGTTTTTAACCTTTTTTTTTTTTTTTTTGCCAAGGCCCACAAGGACCAGGTTTGAGTGAGAACACTCAGTCAAGGTCTGTTGATTCTGCTGAATATCAGGTTGACTCTGTGGGGGCATCTGTATCTTTCAGGTGGTGATAAATTGTGCCATCCCTAAGGGGTTGAAGTACAATCAGGCTACGCAGACCTTCCACCAGTGGCGAGATGCTCGACAGGTGTACGGCCTCAACTTTGGCAGCAAGGAGGATGCCAATGTCTTCGCAAGTGCCATGATGCACGCCTTAGAGGTGTTGAATTCCCAGGAAACAGGTACGGTGTCCGGGTTTCCTTGTTTTCTCCAAGTGCCGTGTATATGTGTGTGTAAAATGTATTTGAAGTAATTCCCGAATTTCTATTGTTCTCTACAGAAATGTAATTTTTGGCTTGTTGATGAAAAGCATATGGTCTAGAGGGATGATCTCATGATATTGGGTAGTCAGTCAATTTTTAACTCGCCTTCGAAGGTAGTTCTGCTCTTCCTCCTCTAGAACCTCAGCTTTTGTTGCGTGATTTGAGGCTCAGAGAACATGCAGTGGAGATAAATTATGTGTGTTTATCATCTCGCCCTTGTACGAAGAAACACATGTTTTCTGAAACACATTTTTTAAGTCACTGCTGAGCCTGTGAACTTCAAGTAGGACTGGATTTCCTTTCATCTTCGTTTGTGAGAACTTGATTCTGAAAGTTGTTTAAAGATTTTAGGAGCGCCCTCAGGTGGTGCGAGCCATGAATTGCCTCTCCTCTGACACGGCGTGGTGGTTAAAAAAAGAGAAGCAGAAACGATTCACTGTTTTAAAACGCAGGATTTAAATCTGTGTATGTATCAGAGATGAACTGTGTTTTAGTTTTGGTTCACAAAATTGAAAACGAATACACCAGTGTGTGGTGAACTCTTTAGGGAGAGAGAGATTTTATATTCTAAAAATAAGTTCTATGTAAAATAATGTAAATGTGATCTCTCTTGCTTTTGTTGTGTGCTTAGTAGTGATGTTGAATATACAAATGTGCCTTAAGCAAAATGTATTTATATATTTTAAGAGGAGAGACAGATTCATTTTTGATATCTTGTTAAGGTGTAGAGTTTCAAAACCTGTTATTGATATGTTAAATTTTATTTATACTGTGTCTTATTCTAAGAAGGGTTGAAACATCTAGCCTGTGGCTTAGTCTATTTCAGATATGAATTACAGAGCAAGAAGACATATGGGAATCTTGCCAAAACCACCTTTTTATGCCTGTAGATGGTTTATATGAGCTCTTTTGAAGAAATGAAGATTTCTGTAAAGAATTGGTACATAGCTCTTATATCTTCTCTGTCTTGAGAAGCCTCAGGAGTTGCTGGTTCATCTGTTAGTGCAGAGCCTAGAGAAGCCCTGGGGTGTGCATGTCTCAGGTGTAGATTGTCTGAGTGCCCCCGTGCACGTCTCTTGTCTGCCTTCTGCTGCAGGGGTAGAATGTCCCCTTGTTGTGGTCTCACTGTAGCAGAGAGACTAGAATTGTGGCTCCGTATCCTACAGGGAGGCCAGCTGCACACCAAATGATGAAAGGCCCAAAGTGTAGAGGGTGTATATATGACACTGAAGTTTGGCTTCCCCATGTGTGAAACAAACTAGCATTTTTATTTCTGAACCTTCAAAAGAGTGTCCCTGGATGTTAGGAACTAAATGTTACTAAAGTGGTTAAAATGATTGTTTTTCATTTTGTCATCGGTTTGTTTTTACCCAATGGAAAGGATCGTTTTTATCCTGTGTAGTCCTGCAGTTTGCTTTCAGAATGCAAATGCTCATGTTTTTCCTTCTGAGCTCCATCTTTTGAAATCAGTGAGTCTTAGTGTGGAGAAACGCTGTTACATTCTCTTGTAGTTTCCGCATTCTAGAAAGTTTGGCAAGTGGGGAAATCACCCATCATCTCACTAGCCATGAGCATTTGGTAAGGCAGAAAAATGTAACAGATTCTTCTTAGATGATCTTGACATTTGTTCTCTTCCGAGTCACAGCCTAGGCCTGTCTTGTGCAGGCCGAGGGGACGGGGATAGTGGTGGAACAGGTGGGCCTGGCTTAACTGGCTCCCTGCAGAGAGGATTGGGTTTCCTCAGAGAAAACAAAGCCTGGGAGAGGGTTTATTTAGAAAATGACTTCTCATAAATTACTGTAGTAAACTGATTTCTGATCTTTGATGGCATTAACTGACTTGGAAGTGGAGGCGCAGGAGGAGGCAGGCGCTGAGAGTCAGAAGGCTAGAGTCTTCTCTGTAGCTCTGCACAGTAGGATACGTGTGTCTCCCGTCCCCCGGGGTTATTTAGTGGGCCCGTCCCATCCACCTAAACAACCGTACCCAGTAATGTCACCTCTCATCTTGAGCGTGCCTTCCCCTTCCACAGCTGTTCGCTTCGGGCTCACAGCCAGCTCCTTACTGAAATCATCTTTTGTCTTCCTGCCAAAACCACGTTGGAAAAGCTTAACGTGTGTGTCCCCTCCCTAAGCAAACAATATACCCAGTGAACCTCTGATCAGAAGCAGCAGAAACAAACATTCCTAAAGCTGAAGTGACTGCAGACATCAGTCTTTCCTGCTGCTTAATGATTTGCCACATTGTAAAACCATTTTTCAATATTGAATAGTTCTGTTCATTTTGGTTTTTTGTTTTTTTAGCTGCTAATAGCAGTATTATCCATGAATGTTGGTTTATCCTTCTGAGTGATTTTTAGGTTTTTAAAGTCATGCGTACCTTTGTTCAGACAGAATCTTCTTGAGAACCTCAGCACCTTCACATGCAAAACCGTGGCGCCACTCTGACTGTTGGGGGCTCAGAGCCCAAGCCGCCCAGGCAGCACGCGGCTCTCCAGAGCAGGGGCTGAGGTACTAGCCTGTCTGTTTTGCCAAAACCCATAATCACTTGGTTCTCCTTTCACCTTTCCCTTGTCCCTGAGTTCTCTAAACCCTCAAACATTTTTTAAATGAAGAAAAAACTACTTTCTTTGGGGCTATTCATACTGACCTTCATAAGGTGCTCTGTGTGTGTGTGATATTTCCATCTCTTTTATGAAAAGGAGGGTGGCAGGAATGTTTTCCTTTATTTTGTTTTTAACTTGGTGTGCAATTATCTAATATACTGGAAAGTACAGGAGGTGCTAAATACAGCTAGTTATATTTGGAATTTAAAACCACAAATCACATGTTCTAACGTTTTTGAAAAAGAGTTGAATTAGCCTTCCTTCTTCTGTACCAAATGCTACAATGTATCTCTCCCCTTTCTCTAATGATAGACTCGATTTTTAAACGCTTACATTCGGATGGCATTATCCAGACCGATATTTTTTATTTCTGTGTTGTTTGTCAAGTATATTTGTAACAGTTTTGCAGATAAATAGTTGTGGATTATATAAAATGTAAAGTTAGTCTTGTGATGATTAGTGGAGGTAAATTTGCACAATTTTTTTTGAGAAAGGTTGAGGGTATTTGAAAATAGGAAATAATTTTAAAAATTCACTTTTTAAAAAGGAAAATTGTAAGCATAGCCAGTAAGTGTATTCGACTTTTATTCTTCTTGACCAAGATTAAGCATACTTTTGTAGAGGGAAAACCTTAAAATATTTTAACCATTAGCTAAGACTGCTTTTGCTAGATTTATTTTATAGCTGTAAGATATATTTTATAGCTTGAAGAAGAGAATACAATGCGATTCTCATGTTTAAATTTTTCTTCAGATTTAAAAAATATTTTTATATAGAGAGTCCATTAATTACTCTTACTGGAAATTTGGTCTGATATACCTTCAGTATGAGCATTTATATGAATTTTATCTTCGCATTTTTCAATCTTTTGGAGATATGTTTTAGAATTAATTGGATTTTAGAAATCTCAAAAAGTTCCTAGAAATATCTTGTTAATAGTGACATTTATTTTTCAGGCCTGCAGATCGCATGTTTCATGGGACCAATACTAAGGTCCTATCACAGATGCCATCCAGTGTGCTCTGAGCTTAGGCCCTGTGCAGGCGTGGGGAGTGATGCTAACAGGCTAAGGCCTGTCCCTTGCCCTCCGGGCTTTCAGCAGGGCTGGGGCTACTGGAAACAAGATCAGCACGTTAGGATACAGTGTGTAGGATACCATGAGTGAGGTGCGCACCAAGGACTGGGGAGTACCAAAGAAAACTCCGGGGTCCAGGGGAGATTCGAACAGCAGATGATGCTGGAGGTATGATTTGAAGAATGTGTAGGCCTCGGCTGTGGTAGGAGAACATTCTAGATGGTCTGGGTGGGGGGGGCATTGGGAAACAACGGAGAGGCAGTGTTGTGGCCTAGGTGTGAGAATTTACAGAGGAGAGAGATCTGAGAGAGAAAGCAGGGAAGGCGGGGAGGGGCCTGTGTCCCGCTGTGTGTGGCAAGGCGCCGGATCTTCCGGGTCGGGGAGTTACCACCTGCGAGGGGGCCAGGAGCATGTTCTGTGAGCAGGTGTGTGCTCTAGCACGGACGTGGTGGGCTGGTTAGCAGGTTAGCATGCGCCCCAGGCCTGGCCTGGTTAGGGTGTGCTGTGATGCCGCAGTTGAGAAAGGTGGCACCCTGAAACGGAGCCGTCACGGAGGAAGAGGACCAGAGAGACGAGGAGGTGATGCTTCTACTTCTGGCTGCTGTGTCCTTGAGGGTGTTGTTGCATTTTGTCCATAAAGCCCGTCTGAGGCAAGAACGATGGTCTGTTTACTAGGTGCCTGCTGTATGCCTGGTCCTTCCTAGGCATGCATATCACTGATGGTCTTTATGATAACCCTGCAGCATTGGGGGTGTCTTCCTCTTGGAGAGAAGAGTGAGGCTTACAGAAGGTCACGCGACCTGCCCTGGGGCCCACAGCTAGACCACTACATAGGATCCCATTTAGGTGGGGGAACCTGTGGGGCTCAGTGGGTTAAGCGTCTGCCTTTGCTCAGGTCATGATCCAGGGGTGTTGGGATTGAGCCCTGCATTGGGCTGCTTGCTTGGCGGGGGAGCCTGCTTCTCCCTCTGCCTGTCTCTCCTTCTGTGTGTGCGTGTGTGCGCGCGCGCTCTTGCTCTCTGTCAAATAAATAAAATCTTAAAAAAAAAAAAACACGTTTAGGATCTCTGTCAGTGACTTGTGATGGGCAGGCCAGGAAGGAGGCAGGGGTGCTGTGAGGTGATTACAGACATGTCCCTCCAGCCACCAAGCATCATCCAGGCCACTGGCAAAAATGGCGTTAGCCAGAGGAGGAGAGGGGCGGGTGTGGTTCTGGGCCCTGGGTCACGGGTTTGATTCTGG